GCTGAACTATTTGGCAGGCCCACACTGTAAAGTACCTTACCGATGCCTGAAACTACTGCACCTGTGCATTTTCCAGCAGCTTGTTTTCACAGGCTTTCATGACTGTCTTTCCACGATAGCAATAAAATTACTCAAAAGGCACCATTTGTAGAGAATGTGCTTAGAGAGACCCTTCTTCCCGCTCTCCTCCAGCTCTTCCTTTGTGAAGGTTAGCAACTGTGATCTCAAGTGAATTTGAGTTTCAGTGGCGGCTCGGCTATTCATCCTGAGTCTCCTAAACAGCACAGGCTGCAATTCTTTTATCTATAAAATGAAATAATAGTCAGAATACTACTATAAGGACCACAGATGATATTTATGAAGCTTCATAATATACAGAAGCACTCTGGAATACGATGGCTGCTCCAATGATAAAGATCGTTGCTACCTGTCAGCCTCTGGTATTTGTGCTGGCTGTGCGTGAGACCAGAGCTCTGAATGCTGACCAGAGCTCATCTTGGAACAGGAAAGAGATTTGGAAAGAAAGGGTTAGAAACTAGGCCATTTCAAGTGTTTGGAAATCAGTAAAAATGTGAAAAAGCCAGAGAAACAAAATCTCTATTCCATAGCATGATGATGGTGTATTTCTAATGGCCCCCCAAAGCTTCATGTGCTCGTGGATGGGGCGGTGACCAGATCCTGGGGGCTGCGGGAGGCTGATCACTGGATCAGTCCACTGACCAGTTTATAGCTCAGTGTGACAGGGGGAGGCAAAGCCTGGTTGGAGGTGGAACATGGGGGCGTGGCCCGGAAGGGTCTGTGTCCTTCTGCTTCCCATAACTACTACCACCACCACCACCACCAGGCCCCACTTTTCAGTGCCATTAGCTCTTTCTTGTCTGCCAGACCCCTGTGCCACACTACCCTGCCTTGGAGTCAGCTGGCCATGAACTAAAGCCTCTACATACTGTGAGCTAAAATTAACCTTTCCTTCTTCAACTTTGGGTGCTGGGTATTTTGCCCAACAATGAGAATGCAATGAAGACAGCACAGCCCAAGGCAGAAAGTTCTGGGAAAATTGTTGGCAAGTAACTGTTAGGCCACAGGTTCTGCTGTGCTTGAGAACTTGTGAAAGATAACAGAGCCGTTGTCTTATACTCACTACCCACAGCAGTGGTGATGGAGGGAAGGGGGAGATTGGTCTTCACCCTCTAGACTGGGAAACTGAAGACAATAGTTAGAGACCTGCCTTTCTTGTCATTGGTTGTGCACTGTGGCTGGGAGGGCCTGTGCAAAGGTGAAGGGACTTTTTGAAGCTCACTGCCCTTGAGGCTGCGCCACTTCTGAAGCTGTGCCTTGCTGCAGGGTGCTGTGTGCTCTGAGTGTGTTGACAGGGTGAGAACTATCTGTCAACTCTGTCCCTTTTGTAGCATTCATTTGGTAAGTGAAAGATTCTGAGATCTGAGGTAAACTTAATTTAATTACAAGTGGCAGGGTATAGGAAGATAATTAGTTAGCATGGTAAATGGGTGGAGCTCACGATAAGACGTTTTCGCATTTCTAAATATATATGAAAACCTTGACTTACGTCCCCCACCAGGCCCTGTTTTCTTATGAACTTTTGGAACTGTGAACCCCAACCCATGGAGAAGCAACAAGTACTCCCTCTCACAGGCCTCCCTTCCATTCCCCAGCTCTCCAGCTTCCCATGATCCCGCCCTTCTTACCCAATGAGGGTGGGTGCTGTGTAAACAATGTATGCTTTCCTTTCCCAATTTAAAAGATCACTCTTGGCTCTGGGACCTGCAGCCATAGCTCCAGCCGCCACCTGGCTTTGCTGCTCATGGTTGCAGGACCTTGGCCGAGGACCTGGACCTTTTTCTCTGGTGAGCAGCTGCAACATCTCAATACCCTCTTGGTCACAAAAGGTTTGATTTAACAAATTCCACAGGGTGACTTTTTAAATGGAAAATACCTGAGGCATGTCCTTTCTTCCTTGCCCAGCTCCACGCTAACCTTAAATTTCAGGGTCTTTATCTTGTGAGATACAAAACGTTTACAAGAAACAGATTATTTTTCCTCTTAAATTAATTAACAGTCTAGCCAGTTGAAAGTATTTCCTGCCCTTAGAAATTATAGGGTCTTTCTCTTTTGTATGTTAATAGAACACATGACACAGATTTATTGGCAATCCAGTAAAATAACCATCCAGTTTGGGATATAATTGGCAATAAAAACACTTCTTGGGCACTAATATTCTAGCTCAAATAATATACTTGAAAGGTTAGCCAGCAATTCAAGGCCACATGCAATTAAATGTTCTAGGAACTCAGAGGCAGAGATTGCTGACATTTAATGTGGTCACAGAAGGCTTCTGTGAAGCAGGGAGGTTTGAGCAGAGCCTGGAAGGATCAGCGCTGGGGCTGCTATGCACCCCGCAGGGCAGGCAGCAGGTCATATCATCTTTGTTAGTTTCTGAAGAGACCATGTGTTTTAGCTCAGCTGTACCCAGCAATAAACATTTGTTGAATTAATTCATAGGTAGAGATATTAACAGGTTTTCTAGGCTGAAGTAACAATACAAACACATGCACAATGTACAGATAAGCCTTCTGTGCTAGGAAACCCCAAGAACAAACTGGCCAAAGGAAAGCTTCCTATTAGGAAGTAGTGAGAATAACAAACCTAGGTTGGAGAGGCCCAAGGAGGCTAAGAAGAGTCAGACCTTCTCCTAAGACAATGAAGAGTCCCAACCCTCTCTCAGTGAAGGAGCAAACAGTATGAAAATTAACCAACTGTAACAAATGAGAAGAAAGAGAGGTATGATACTGCATAATATGAAAATTATACTTGGTCTTTGTCCGCATTTCCTGGCACAGGTCTCCTAAAACCTTTATCATTTCCAATGTGATTGGTGTCTTTTTTGTTTTTGTATACAAAAGGGATGACTGATGGCTGAGCTATCTTCAAGAGAGGAGCTGAACTTCTAAAGGCAACAAAACCGTTTGATTAGCAATTTGAACCCTTCGGCCAAACTCCCCTCACTCTCAAGATAGGGTAGGGAGAAGTGCTAAAGGTTTATTCCCTGATGGCCAATGCTTTAATCGATCATGCCCCATAGAATAAGGCCCTCGATTTCCAAAGGACAGGGTTCCAGAGCTTCCCCGCTGCTGAAGTTGTGGAGACGCCTGCAGAGTGACAGGACAGAGAGGCTTGAAAGGCCCTTGTCTTTCTCCAATACCTTGTCCTACACACCTTTTCATGTTTTCCTTTATGACATCCTCTGTAATGCATGAGTTATGTAAGGAGTGTTTCCCTCAGGTCGGTGAGCTGCTGAAGCAAATTAACTGAGCCCAAGGACCAAGTCAGATTTACTGGCTCCCAACCATAAATTTATTGTTGGTTGGTCAGAAATACAGGTCACAACCAGGACATGACTGGAATCCAAAGGGAGAGGGGTCTTTGAGACTGATCCTCAACTTTTGTTAGATAGTATCCGCACTGAATTGAACTGAACTGAATGAAACTGAACTGAACCGAACCAACCTGAACTGGACATCCTGTTGGCATCTGATGGAGAATTACTTGGTATATGGGGAAAATCCCTACACACATTTTAGAGATAAGAGGTTAATTTTTCTCTCTTTTATTGGCTACAGAACAGAAGAAAAAATATTTATCTTTTCTAAGGAGTACAACTGAGAAAGGCTTTGCCTTTGGGCTAGACCCCAGGGCTCAGGCCTGTACAACATTCATTCAAATCTAGCTAAAGTTTCCTAGTTGATGATCCTGAGCTGAACTTCTCATAGCCTTAGTTTTCATACATATGACACAAAAAATAGTAACACCTAATCTGTAGAATTCTTGTGAAAACTGAATGAGATAGTTTTGAAAAGCACTTAAAGAGGATGATGCCTAAGACACAGGAAACTCAGTTCACAGCTACAGAGAAAACTACTGGAAGGAAGGAGGTACCTGCCATTTTCCTGCTCTCTGAAATTCTTCATTAGTCCACTATCCACAGGAAACACAACCTGTGTTATCTAATTTATAGATTCGATTTCATCTTATCCTTCAAAACTATCCAACTAGGGGTCAGAGATATAGCTCAGCAGCATAGTGCCTGTCTGGCAAGCACAGGGACCTGAGTTCTACTCAGGACCAAACAAACAACTACCTGACTATAACTTTCACATTCCAGACCTGCAATCTCTTAAGTAGGTAAAACAGTGAGCTCAGCCTTTGTGCCTGATTCTCACCACCTCAACTAGCAACTTCCAATACTGAATTGAAAAGAACTAAAATACTTTTCAAGCAAGACTCAGAACTCAGAGAGCCCTGCAAGGCTCCAGGGATTATCCTCCACCAGTTTTCCTTCCCTTCTAGACCACAGGTTCCCAGCCTGGGATAGGCAGGAGTAGAGTTATCATAGGAGGCTCACAATTCAGTATGGGCTTGAGCAGTGTTAAAAAACACAAAGTTACACAGATGTCTTGTCTATATGTCTACATTTTCAAATTCTGCTCAGATTAATAAGTTATAAATTATGATTTATAACATTCTGTCATTATCTATTTTCTTAATATACAGATGCTAACTAAACCATCACTCCCGCATCAGTCTTTAATATCTTCAGACATTTCAAAGCAGATTAGTCAAGTGTGGGCATCAGGAAAAGCACAGTGCACTAAGAAAAAGAAATCAGAGACCACCTGTCCTTACCTATGTCCCTACATCCAGGAAAATAAACACCACAAAGCCAGGGACTAAGATAAGTAAAAAATAAGATGTCAGAAATCATCTTGTCCCTTGACACCAAGGTTCAGAGGGGATTTATATAGTAAGAAAAATCTGAAATAAAAGTTTGCCTTTCCTTGCCCCCACAAATAGATATCCATACTTGAAGGGGTAGCACATCTCTACATGTAAATCCTGAAACTTTCATTCAGTAAGGAGCCATCCAAAAAACACATGAGAATAAGAATGTAAGTAAAAATCAACAGCACCTCCAGACAGCTTACCTGTCCTGCCATTCAGGAGAATCGGCTTGCCCTCCAGCTCTCCTCTTATGGGGACAACTGTGATCTTATAGTCCGTCCCAGGCTCCAGACCTGGAAACAAGCAGGCAGCGCTGGACGTGAGGACAGGCCCCTGGGCCCACTTACAGCACTGCTCTTCCCCTGGATCCTTCTTGGGAGAGGTAGGTGAGGGCTTCTGCCCCTGTGATCAGTGGGCTCTGAAGCCCCATCAAGGGGCTTTCCCATTGTGGGAGGACCAGGACAGAGGAGCTACAGATGGTGGACTGTGTCTTTCTGTTGGGTCATCTAGAACTTACTTTTTAATTTTATTGATAGCCCCAATATTTTCTCCCCAAAATCATCTTCTCTTAAATGTTCCTTTCCTTTTCATTATAATAATTAGCCCAGATTTTTCCTCTCTTTCCTGTTAAAGTTACTTCTCCATAGAAGCAACATGAATGAATATTCTTTATGACACAATATTCACATTCCACCGGTAAAAGGCAGTCAAACAGCAGCATGAATGGGGCTCCCACTCATCCACCCGACAAATGCTGAGAATGCCAGAAGATGTTCCCTCAACGACGGGGGGCGGGGGGGGCGGGTAGATGTCAGACAAAGATTGAGAATTTAACAGGTGGTAAATAACCCTCAGGCCCTTCAGCTTCACGGACTTCTTCCAAAGCACTGTGCCTAAGTAGGTACTCATGATTGTATATGACTTTTTAAAGAGTGCCCTGAAAAATGTATTAATTTCAAGCAATGTAAAGCTTGGCCCACTCTTGTGTTTTCATTTCCTGAGTTCCAGCTCTCAGCAGAATTGGCTGAGTCCCCTCTCCAGGCCTCTGATGCCCTTCCAGGCATTGGGTTCAATAAAGCAATTTCAAGTCCCTCCTTAGGCTTCAGTACACACACACACACACACACACACACACACACATTTCTCCAAAAGGAAGCTCTGTGTGTTACCAAATCCACCCTAACACACAGATAGGGTCTTATTTGAGAGAACATGTCAGAAGGGTGCTCTGTTTACAAGGTGCCCTGGGAGTCCAACTCTGGGAAGCTGGAACACAGTCTGCAGGCCTCGGATGCAGGCTCTTGCCTGGCAGTCTCAGAGGTCAGGGTCTGAGTGTAATTCCAAAGGTCCTAGGACCCATTATGCACACTGTCCCCACCTCAGCATCCACAGCGTCATTTCACACCCCCTTTGTTGACTCTTACCAGTGATGTCATATCGGCTCTTGGGTTCACGGCTCTTGGGTACAGTGACCTCAGCCACCTCATGCCCTGTCAACGGACCATATCGCAGCTTGTAGTAGTCCACCTCAGTTGGGGGATTCTCCCACTCCACATCAAGGGAGTTCTCAGTCTCTTCTGTCACCCAGGCAGTGCCAACCACAGCAAGATCTAGGTGAGGGGCCAGAGAGGGCAAGAGAAAATGATAAGCAGAGGTCATGAAGGTATAAAAGAAGTTGTTAATTGCCGCATTTGGCCCCTGATCCACTGAGAGCTGGCTACAGTTCCAGGATGTGGAGCTGAAGGGGCCTCTCAGAGCCACCCAAATCACAACTAGCTGCTGTTTTCACATTCTCCATGGAAAGAAACTGTTCTGGGAAAATCTCTGCACCCAACAAGTGCAATGCAGCCCTTCCTGTGCAAGCTGACCGTGGCCAAGCCCGAGCCATAGCCCTCAAAGTCAACCATGCACACCACCCAGCCAGGGCCTAGACAGCTCTAATGCCCATGCCTTTGGTTACCAAGTCCTTGTACTCAGAGACAACCTCAGGATGAGATACACAGGTCTTTCCATGTAAAGTTGCAAACATGTATTTCAAGTTTTCTATACCAGTTCCTTCTTCCATGGCTCTAATTATAGCCCTTCCCCAAAATTTGCCGCAACAGATTTTGAGGCGAAAACTACAAAGTAGGTGACTTGGTTTTTCTATATATCCTCCTAGTCCCTTCTACCAGACTTTAGTTTTCCCACATCTCTCCTAAGGTATTTGTGCTGCCTCACCTATCTGTCTTATGAATCTAAAATGATCGCACATCTGTATTCATCATGAAGTACTGAGAGCTAAATGTTTGCCCTTCCATTTGGGAAGAAACATGAAATCATAATACAAAGCAATAGACTGCTGCAGCAGTTCTAGGGAGGTGCTTTCCAGTGGGCAGTGCTCATATCTTTGAAGAACACTTTGAAATTGCAAAATTCATGGAATCCCAGGCTGCTGATGAAGGTTGGTCCAGAAATTTAGAACTGGGCAGATGTAAGTGCCCTGGATGTAAGCCCTGTCCCCTCTGCTGTCCTATCTCCAACTTAGCTTTCTGCAAGTGTTTCTGCCTAAGCTGGTTGACCACTTGTCCTGGACAGGAAACCAATAGGTCAGCCAAGGTGTGAACTCATTGGTCTCAAGGCTCCTCAGCCCTGAGTGGCCCGGATCTTCTGTTATGGATAAAGAATTGTGTTGCACCTTCCTTCCCATGCATTTCCTCCTCTCACTACCAGATTTTGCCTGCCAAGTCTCCCTCCTCATTCTGTTTCTAGATTCCTTTCAAAGATGGAATTCCCTGGGGGGTCAAGTGAAGAGGAGAGTAATGAAGGTGATGGAGTCTCCTACGTGGCCTAAGAGAATTGGGAAGGATTCCCAAATGAAAACAAAGATTTAACAAGTGTTCAAGATTATAATGGGGGGATAAGGACTGCTCAGTCTGGACTTCCCTTAGGAACAAAAAAATAATGTGTTTAGCTTAAATCAGATCAGACAGGAAGACAAACTTCACAGTAGCAGAATTTAACAGCTCCCAGAGGCGTTGCTAAGACTTTCAGAACACATGTCCATCGCTGGGAAGCTGGACTGTGCCCTAGCTTAGCGCAGACACAGACACAGACAAAAATGGAAGTCTGGCATGGCCCTCTTGGACTGGGGCTCTCCCCATGGATATGAACCACTTCGACATCAGCATAAGACAGGGCCACTCTGCAACCACATTAGACCAAGCCAAAAGCAAGCCTCTGTAGTGACCATGGCTGACGGCAGACAAACACATGGCTGCTGCTCTCACTAATGTCCAAGCACCCCATCTCCTTACTCACGGGAATGACGGCCACTTCTTTCCATTTGACGTGTCCACCCCCTCTCAGTGCAACTAAGATACCAACCACAGAATTACCCCATTGCTTGACAGCATCCAGCTCAAACCAAATCCCCACTCCCTTAAATCCTCCCCCCAATTAGCTAGCCCAACCCCAAATTCTAGAATCACTCCATTCCTGCACCCTCTTACTGGGATGTCCCCACAGTTTTCCATGATGTACATTCTGCTATGCTAAAACAATCAACCCAACTTGTTCAACTACAGGTGTGTTTCTAGGGATCTCCAGCTGCAGACACTGGCGTGGGCCATCAAAAACTGTGCCCTCAAGCTGCCAGCTCTGTCTCTGCATGTCTCTGTCTCTCTCTCTCTCTCTCTCTCTCTCTCTCTCTCTCTCTCTCTCTCTCTCTCTCTCTCTCTCTCTCTCTCTCCCTGCTTTTGCTGATGCTCTCCATGCTGTCTATCCTTACTCTGCTCTATTCTGCCACCAAAATAGGACACACAGCCTAATCTGCAAAGACAAACACGCCAAAGTCCCATCCACCTGGGGCTTTCCCCAGGAGTTTGGGGCAGGATGGAGGGAGTAAATTCTTCTGAGTACACAGAACTGTGCTGCCACCAGGCACTCAATACAAATGTGTTGAGCAGAGAAACGGATCAGTTACTCAACGCAATTTCCGCAAACCCTTGAGGAGCTACTTTAAGAACTTTCTTAAGGAAATAAGACTCTCTAAAGAGTACAGCTGCCAGGTGGATTACTTTTAGGGGAAGCTCCTCTGCTAAAAAAGGGAACACCTGCTCCCTTGTCCCTTCCTCTCTGCCCTTTAAGACTGTTAACCACCTTCAAAGTTGTGAAAGTCAAAAATCTTGAGTGATGGACAAGAAACCGGACAAGATGGCCAGGTCACTCTGATTCATTCTTTTTCATAATGCTAAATTACTCACTCAGACACATTCGAGTCTGTTACCTTTTTTCAGCATGAGATGTATGGCCCCAGACAGCATCCTGAGGGATGGGTCCATTTCTACATGTGATGAGCAGTATTTCCTACAGGAATATCTGTCTCAATAAAAGTTCTTTGCTTTCTTTGTTCAGAGGAAGAACACTTCTTTTACAGCTACTTTGGGCCTCTCCTTGCTTGCTGCAGGTTAGGAACTTCTTTCCATTATTTTATCTCTTTCTTGTGTTTCCCAGCTTTGCACTGACCTTGAGGTACACCTACTGCATTGGAATAGCAGTTAGGGGGAAGAATCTGCTTGACTGGCTGTAGAGCCCATCCAGGGGTTTGGAAGAGCCCACTCTGTGGGTCCTAGAGATGTACCTTTGGCTTCCTGTCTGCTCCCTTGTCCCTTCCTCTCTGGCTCTGTTCCTCTGTGCTATTCCCCTATAGGCATGAGCCACACAGCACTTCACCGCACTCTTCTGCCATATTGTTTCCACCTTGGAGCCAGCCAACCATGGACTGAATTCCCCAAAACCATGAGTCAAATTAAACTTCTCATCCTTTCAATTGGGGATGTTGGCTATTGTGTCCAGTGATGGAGAAACTAACTAATACAATTGGAAGACACAGGCAGGATGCTTCTCCTTCCAAACATGTTGGTGATACAGATGTTGTCCTAGAGACCATGTCCTTTCAAGCCAGCCTCCACTGGTCCTCACTCATGCTGTTTTTCAAGTTAGGACCTCTAGGAATTAACAGGGCCCTTTCCCTCTGACCTCTGAGGCCTGCCAGTGGGGGCTACCAGCAGATCAGAGAGCAGGAGAGAGGGAAGGTGACCAATGTCTACTTCCTCCCTATAGGAAAACAATAGAAATCCTGCTTCTTCAATAGCTTCATCCCTATGCTCAAACTTGATGAGTGGCCTTAGAGGCCCACAGAGAGGTGAGGGATATAAGTGACTTCTTTCTTTGGTGGGGCTTTGGGACAGGGTTCAGAGCTCAGGCCTTACTAATCTCAGGGACACTGAGACCTCTTGAACCTTGGTTGGGCAGGCTGCCACTATTGACTTGGAGGACCCAGTAATTCAGGGAGAGGGGAGAGATAACCAGACCTCTTCTCAGAATTGAGGACTGGAGCAACTCTAGTTTTCCAACCTAAAATTAAAGCAATGGCCTGATCAACAGGAAGGTACTGTGTCTGTGGAGAAAGCAGGAGGAAGCATTCAACACAGGTCCTTGCTGAAAGAGGGGAGGCATCTGATTGCTTCCTCACCTGTGGTGGCCAGCAGGTGCTGCGGGCTGCTGGCGATGTCCTTCTTCACATTGCGCAGGGTGACTATGTATTTGGTCCCAGGCATCAGGTCAGGAATCTCATAGGTGTGCTGCTCCTTGGGCACCTGGACCTGCTTCCCAGAGAGCTCCTTCCCCAGGGGGTAGTAGCTCAGGAGATAGTGGTCCACGTCACTGGAAGGCTCCCAGCCCACCAGCAGGGAGTTCTCTGTGCTCTTCAGCAGCTGCAGGCCCTGAGGGGGGATGACTGGTGCAGAACAGGGGCGGGGAGAGGGCAAGAACTTAGGGGCAGAAACCGCTGCTGATGAGTGACCAATGAGCACTGCTGGGGTGCTTAGCACCGTGATTGTGAGCCAGGGGGTAACAGGCCTCAGTAGCACCCTTCTGGACACACAGTCCAGGCAGTTATGATCTGGCTAGGAGTCAATACAGACTCTCTGCCTCAACCCCCATGGCCATTATACCCATGGCCATCAGATCATAAGACCAGGGATTCCCAGAGCTCAAGTCCCAAACTAGTAGCATCTGCATCAACTATGACCTTGTAGAAATGCAAATTCTCAGACCCTGTGCCTTTGTTTGTTTTCTTGGACAGGGTTCAAGTAAGTTGCTGAGTTGCCCAAGGTGAGATCAAACTTTTTTTTGCAGTACCAGGGATTGAACTCAGGACCCTGAGCTTGCTAGGCAAGCGTTTATTCTACTCAGCTATCTCCTGCCCCGAGATCAAACTTTTGACCCACTGCCTCAGTCTCCCAGAGTGCTGGAATCACAGCCCTGCCCCAGCACCCAGCAGTCTGTTTTTAGGAACCCTCCAGAGGAGTCTGCTGTAAGCCAAAGGCTGGGCCCACTGCACAGGACAGTGTGTTAGACATTGTTTAGATGTTCAGTGGAGATCTTGAGTGGGAGGAAGTGACTCTCACCCTGGGAGCAGTCGGGACCAGTGAAGCCCAGCTCGCAGTAACACTCGCCCGTGTCACAGAAACCGTGGCCGCTGCAGTCGCCAGGACAGCGCTGCTCGCTGCAGTCCTCCGATGTGAAGTCTTCGTGGCACTGGCAGACGCCACGCACGCACACGCCGTGGCCGCTGCAGTCCTGCGGGCAGGCGGGGTAGGCGCAGTCGGCGCCCACATAGGGCTCGTCGCACAGGCAGCGCCCATCCACGCAACGCCCGTGGCCGCTGCATGCCCCGGGGCAGGAGGGCAGCTCACAGTCCACGCCCTCCCAGCCCTGCTCGCAGTGACAGCTGCAGGTGTGAGGGGAAAAGGTCCCATGGCCGCTGCAGTGACGGGTCAGATCTGGGAGGAAGAGGAAAAACAGGAGGGGTGAGTGGAGGGTGGGTGGAGGGTGAGAGCTTTGCCTGGAGATGGGTGGGAGAAGATGTGTGGCATCCTGTCTGTGGATGGGGCGGGCTCTCCAGGAGAGACTGAGCCGGTGCTTTCCAGCTGGGCGCCACCCATGTGCCTACGGAGCTACACAACCACCTGCATCCTTTCCCCTTCCTATTGAATTCCCCTAGTTCCTTCCATCTGGGTGGTTGAGGTTACTGGATGCTTTTCTGTGAAAGGGACTTAGATGCTGTATTGGTGCTGGTTGCTGGCCCGGGGAGATGGGCTGAGATCCAGACAGGTGGGAAGCTGGCTTCTCCTGGGGGAGGGACTGAACTTAGCCAGGCCCCCTTATCCAACAAGTAGTGTTGATGGCTTGAAAGGTGACGTCAGAAGCTCCCTGCTGGCCCTGCCTGCAGGGGGCAGCAGGATGGCAGGCAGTGTAAACTGAAAATGTCCATGTCCCTTCCTCAAGACCTTCCCAAAGTGGAGCTCCTCCAAGCAGGGCTACACTGCGTGAGTCGTGGCCACATCCCCAGCTGCTAATACCATATCTGGCATTCTACATGCGCTGATCACCACGCAGTTTGTCCAGGTATAAAAATGTATGAGGACCGCTCACTGTTGTCTAGTTCAGTCTGGAAGATTTATGTTTTGAGAAGGGTGGGCAGAGGAAACTTTACCGTGCACAAATGAAATTGTAGCACTTCATAGATAATAGTTTCCAGCTTCCTGAATATTAGGAATCTAATACATACCATCTCTACTTCTCAGAACGATGCGATCCGCAGGTAAGGGGGCCCCTGGAAGCATTTGCATTGGAAGCATTAACTGAGGGGTCTACTCCAGATGCCCCTGAAACTAGCACACACCAATAAAGAGCAGGGCCCTCGAGAAAACTCAAGAGGAGGGAACACCTGGCGCAGAGTATTTGCGAGGCTGGTGGAGCCCTGTGCGTAGCCGGTGCTTGTCAAGTGCTTGTCGCACAACCACCACGTACTGAACTCACCAGCTGCCCCTTGGCAGCAGTGCTGGACATTGCACTGCTCCTTCCACTCTGCCATCTCTTCCTCCAGTTTCTTCACCCGGGCCAGGAGATCCTGGAAGCTATCTGACAAGTCACAGTCCTTCGGTGGCACCTGAAGGCGGATGTTGTGCTTGAAGATGAAGTTCTGTCCCTCTCCCTCCTCCCCTGTGGCCAAGAGGGAGGTCCCATTATCACTGAGCGACTGTGGGTCGGCCTCCACCTGCACCATGGTGGACTTGGGCATCTCAATATTGTAGTTGTGGCTGATGGTGACCAGCTGGTCCTTGTTGGTGCAGCCTTGAGGCTCTGGTGTGGCCGGGGCTGAAGTCACCAGGAGCACACAGTCAAGCAGGAGCCCTAGGGGGAAGCCAAAAGCCCCCTGGATACCCATCCTCAGAGAGATGGAACAGCGCCTCCAGGAACCCTGTCCAGAAAGGTGCAGAAGAGAGCCATTAGTTTGCTGAAGGAAACAGGCATTTTGAACATATTCTATGCATCCACAGGTAACTGAAAAACTGGGAGAAATAATTCATTCCCTCTCTCCCAAGGTTCTCAACCAAATATCTTCCTTGCCTCCCTCTCACACTGCCCATCCCACCTGCTCTCTAGTGTCTCCTGCTCATGCCCCCGGAATTGCCTTCTGAGCACTTGGTATATCTCAGGCAGTGTTCCGAATGCCTGTGGATAGAATGGAATGGAGTGGTCAGGGGCACACTTGAGATTGGACAGCGGGTAATAAGTGTCCATTGGAAAAGGAGGGTGTTCATTGCTATCATGGAAGATGGGGATGAAGTCAGAATAAACAGGGAGTGGCAAAGAAGAGGCAGGTGCCTGATGGGCCAGGAGGAATTCAGAGGTGGGAACTTGGCTGGAAGGAGCTGCATGGCAGAGACAGGAAGGAGGCCTCCGTGGGAAAGGCCAAGTCGTGCCAACTGAGCAAGGCACATTAGAGCTTCTGAAGGGCCACTGGGGCTGTGGCGTGTGGCCACACCATACAGGAGGTGCTGGCAGTACAGAGGGGGCTCTCCACAGAACCCACACAGGGTGCTGGAGCAGCTCAGGGATTTGTGATCTCTAGGAATTTCAATCCTGGGCTTTAGCTGGGAGAGAAGAAGAAGTGTGACCCGGAGAGGACCGAGGCTCTGACACCGGCATAGATTTGCTGTCACAAAAGCAGCCAGCAAAGGCTTGGGGGTCAGCTTGCAACTTCTAGGACAGTGTGGGGATGTTGTATGGCAGGTGCTAGGAAGAAATAATGATGTTTCACAATTGCCTTCTTAAAAGGTTCAGCTAAATAACACATAATACTCAGGAGGAGGCCTGAGACTTAGCGCCATAGCCCACTAATCTGCTCCCATTGAGGGCAGACCACAGATTGGAACCTGGAGCAAAGTCTCCAGGGTGGAGCTGTTCACCCCTGTGTGCCCTGAGGTCCCAGCAGCAACACACAGTGATCGCTAAAACACCTACTGTGTTCACCCACCCAGCACAGGAGTTTCTGTCATCTAGACTCCACCTGCCAGACAGGAGTCAGAAAAGCAGACCTCTCTCCCTACTCCTGTCCCACACCCACCCCTAGCCCTGGCTCACTGTCCCTGGGACCTAAATGAAGTGCAGATGTTTTTTCTGAAGAAGTTCTAAATGAATACCCCTGAAAAGCCAGACACTCTTGCCATAAACCACAGCAAGGCTGCGCAGCACCCAGTCTCACGGCGTTTGGTTTTGAAGCCTGGAGATGAGAAAGCCCAGAAACTCCCATAGAAGCTGTCCATGTCACCTGTCCTACTGAAGGAGACATCCTTGCTCATCAGAGCCTCTCAGATTCCACAAGTTGAGCTCAGATTTTCCTGGGCAAGGTGATTTCTCGAAAGACGAGATGAGGAAAATCTTGACCTAACACTTGGTCAAGCACCACAGAGGTGAGGGAAGCTACTGGCGCTCACTGTAACGCATGCAGGACACTGTCCTCCTTGAAGGGGTGACTGCATCCACTTGCCAGCACAAAGCACTCTGAACTGAGGAGAAAGGGGTGAGGGGGCACCAACTGTCACTAAGAAGAATGCTGGAAGATCATGTCTGAATAGGAATTGTTACTCCCTTGAGAGGGAGCATCCTACAGAAAGCGGGGCAAATGTGCTGGAGAGCATGAGGCTTTCTACATCCAGGAAGCCAGGTGTCCCCGGGACTCAGTCTTGAGGCTGATTGTGGCTTTAATTCCAACTGCAGAGGGCCGCTGGGTGGCACAGGAAGGTGGTAGCCCGATGCTGCTTTATACAGCTTTTCTGGGACAGGACTTTTTTTTTTATTTTTTAAGGAAGGGTCTACAGGGTGTTTAGGGTCTCACTACTAGATAAGACTCATAGCGATCCGCCTGTTTACCACCTCCCAAGAGCTGGGATTGCAGGCGCATGCCACCACGCCCAGTCTCAATTGCCATCTCAGCGCACCCCAGGGGCAGGCCCGGGATTGAATCCTGTGCCCTGCACCTGCTTGTAGGTGCTTTAATCTACTGAGCTATTCAGCCCGCCCTAGGACAAGACTTTTGAGGGGTACTCTGCTTATCATGAGGGGGCTGGCCGATCCCCCTCACTCTGCCCTCAGAGTCCCTGATGTCACAGGGCTCTGATTCCCCTTGGTAGCTGAACCTGCCCCTAGTCTTTAATTTCCAGTCAAACAGTGACTGCTCCTACGTCTGCTCTTGTTTCCAGATAGCCCTGCAAGCTCAGAGATGCCCGTAACTATAACATTTTGGACTCGCTGTATCTCCAGCCTCATAGCACAGTGCTCGCCAAGTATGTGTGAATTAGATAATGGCCATTGGAGTGAGTATGTGCGTGCGTGGGTGTGTGTGCACATGTGTGTGCACGTGCGTGTGTGTGCGCATGTGTGTGTGTGTGTGTGTGTGTGTGTGTGTGTATTAGACAATGGATACTGTGCCAAACACATTATAAGCATCAGGAACATTTCATCCTCAAAATGCTGACCGTGAGTTGAGAGCATTCTTTATTATGGGTGCTCAGTGAGGTAAAGCAAGTTGGCTAAAGACACAGAGCTAGTCAGCTTCAGAGATGGGAGCACACACCAGGTCCCTGTCCACCCTGCGTCTGGGTTCTTCATCTCTCTGCGATGTGTACTGCAGGCATGAAAAGAAAAAAAAATTTCCTGTTCCTGCTGTACCTTTTTTTTTTTTGAGAGATAGATTCTTATGAAAATAAAGGAAACTTGAACCAGGTGTGGTGGTGAATGCCTGTAATCCCAGCACTCTGGGCTGAGGCTGGAGGGTCATTGTGAGTTCAAGGTCAAGCCTGCCATATACATTGAGACCCTGCTTCAAAAAAAGAGAGAAAGAAAAAAGGAAAGAGAGAGAGAGAGATATGAGAAAATGAGAGAGAGAATCCTCAAAGCATGGGTACTCCATAAAGCATTGATAAATTGATAACTGGGGTCAGGGTGTGGCTCATGGGCAGAGCACATGCCTGTGCCCATACTTTCTCTGAACAGTGTCAAGATGATTTTCAGAGAGATGACTTGTTTTCTGCACAGGGAGGATAAGTCCAGTTACTTCTGATGAGATGCTGGAAATTCCCTTGCTCAGAAACACCGAGGTACTCGAAGACCTCTGGCCCCTGTGGCTGATGTCAACCAACCCGTAGTCAGTGGAGGACAGACTCCTCATGCTGCTGGTGCTCTCCAACCCAAGGATTGGGTGTCCTCTATGTCACCTCATTCTCAACAAAGGACATACACCCTTGGTTGGGAAAAAGTACTAATACTAAAAAGAGCAGGGACCAAGCTCTAGTCATCATTACAGATCTTTCTAGTTAAATTCTGGGCTGTCTCTGGCTCCCACAATTACCTCATCCTGACTTTATGGTTAACCTCAAACAAATGAGAGCACTGCTTTGGATTTTAGAAAAACTGTATCATCATGGATTTCCAGTGCAGTCACTTAAGATATTCTGCACCCAAATGATGGGGTGGACATTGTTGGCCTATGAAAATGAAAGAAGTAGGTGCCACAAATGTCACTCTTTCCCTAACTCTCTCGGGCATATTTTGCTAGTGATCCACAAGCTGAGCCTTGGGTGACTCAGAGGACTTGTGGCCCAAGCACTTGTTCCAGGACAGCAAGTTCTCAAGTGGCTGAGGAACTGACCCTGGTTCAACAGATCTTGAAGTGGAGACCTTAGGCAACCAATGTAGCCCAGTCTCCTTCTCCTTCATCATGTTAGAGTAGAATGTGTCCAAGGCAGCACTGTTTCTAAGTCCACCACCACCTGGCTGAATCAACTACTGTATATACAAATATTTTTATCTTCAGTCTCTCTGATGCTGACCTGTCTGTTCATGGAGAATGCAAGACAAGAATGGATGAGAAGAAAAAATTGTCTTAGTGTGAAAGGCTTCATCTATTCTATCAAGACTTCCTCTGGACCCCGCATTCAGAATTCAGTGGGGTCTTCTGAGGAGTGTTTACAGCTGATCTTTGCCTTGGTGCATGAAGCTCTGCTACCCACAAGAGGTAGAAAAGAGGAAGGTGGGAGCCTCTACACCAGCCCTGGCTCTCCATCACTTTCCCAGGGGTGAGCACAGGCTTGTTTTGATCCGCCTACCCAAATGGGCAGTGATTACGGGGTCTGCCATTCTCTAAGCGATTACGGCATGCCAGACTGTAATATTGAAAACCTACTCTGGGGCTGGGGGAGTAGGTCAATGGCAGAGCCTGCCCTAACATGCACCAGGTCCAAGATTCAATCCCTAGCACTAAACCAAACCAAAACAAAAATAAACTTATCCCTGAACATGAAAGACATTCATTCACACATAGGAATGAATTACTTTTTCACAGAAAGGCCTTCCCTTAGCTTTTGGATCAGGCTTAACCACAGTGAGAAGATAAAATAGACACAGGTTCTAAATCCAGAGACCTTCCTTCCCCACATCCAACCAAATGCTCAACTCCCAGAATTACTGAGTATTACTTGATTCATTATTCCTCTTCCCCCAGGGACAGAGGGACATCCTATGGCAAATCTGCTTCAGCTGCATGAGAAGTAGGGGCACGTAATGACAAGCTACAATTCCTCTCTCTGGTTTAACGTGTGGTTTTCCACATACTGGACTAACTTTAAAGCTCCAGCTTTCCATTCAGGAGGCATGGCTTTGCTCATTTCCAAGGATTTGTGCTGTGCCAGCCACACTGTGGGCACATGTGTAGATGGCAGCTGGTTGGCATTAGAATGAGTCCACTGTGGTGGAGGCAGGCAAAGCCCCTGTCCCTCAAGAACTGGGCCTGGGATCTTAACATCATCAGCTCCCAGACTGGTGGCTCCAGACACTGCGACAGAGCCTAACCCACAATCTCATATCTGCAGCCAGACCCTCCAGAAG